GAGCTGAGGCGCCTGTCCCACAGCGGGTGGCAGCGGAGGCGCATCGGCGCGTGGTGGTGGAGTACCTGCGTGCCGTCATGCAGAAGCGCATCACCTTCCGCAGTGCTGAGGAGCGCAAGGAGGGCGCTGAGCGCATGGTCAAGGAGGCCGAGCAGTTCCGCTTCTTGTTCAGGAAGCTGGCGTCGGTGAGTGAGTACACTACGGGCCCTGGCACCATGTGGGCACATCCTGAGAAGCCCCTGGGGTGCTGACAGGAAGGCCAGGGCCCCAGCCCCTTGTGATTCCCAGTGAGGGTGGCCCCAGCAGCAGGTGCCTGGGGCGCGGACCCCTCACCCACCACAGCTGGCCAGAGGCCATATGCCCTGTCCACACCCCCTCCACAGCAGCACCACTCTACAGGGCTTATCCTAGTGTGCACCTACACACACCCCCCGAAAATGAGTGTATCGGGTCCTCCCTGCACGCTCACAAATGGTAGAAGGGAGTCGTTGGGCCCCCAGTGAGCTGGACTTAGCACAGCCCTTTTACTGCCCCAGAGCTTCGGAGAGGATGCAGATGGGCACTGTGACACCATCGTGGCCATCGCAGAGGTCATTAAGCTCACGGACCCTTCCCTGCTGTATCTGGAGGTCTCCACGCTTGTCAGCAAGTACCCAGATATCAGGTAACACATTCTGTCCAGCAGGGGACCTGAGACCATAGAGGATTTGGAGGGGACAGGGCTCTCACAACATTGTCACCTGCACCCACCCCCCACCAATACCTACATCTACCCTCAGAGTGGAGTCCTTTCCAGCATCAGCTCCATCCTATCTCACAGTAGGGTCACTCTCTCCTATCACCTACGTCTGTCCTCAGTGTGGGGTCCCCTCCTTCACTTGTACCAGTCCTTGAGATAGGCTCCCTCCCCCTCACTGAGCCTGCACTGGAGGTGGGGTCCCTCCTCCCTCATCACTGAGCCCTGCACCCATAGTGGAATCCCCTCCCCATCACTGAGCCCTACACTCAAAGCGAGATCCTGTCCCAATCACTGAGCCTGCACCCTCGGTGGGGCCCTTCCTCCCTCATCACTGAGCCTGCACTGGGGGTGAGGTTGCAGATCTGGCCGGTGGGTGCGGGAGGGGCTGTCACTTGGCTCCGTGGGGCTGTGGCCTTGCCTGGTGGATGTCTAGTCACCGTGCCTCCCCCAGGGATGAGCACATTGGCGCGCTGCTGGCCATGCGTGGGGATGCCAGCCGGGACATGAAGCAGACCATCATCGAGACACTAGAGCAAGGCCCCACGCAGACCGGCCCTGGCTATGTGCCCCTGTTCAAGGAAATTGTCGTGCCCAGCCTGACTGTGACCAAGCTGCTCAAGTAGCTGCCCGTGCCCTGCCTCCAGTCGTGTCAGGAGAGCTCATGTGTGCTGCTTAAGGTGTGGGCACCTGTCTTTCCTGGAGCCCAGCTGGTGATGAACCTGGGGTTCTGACAGCAGGAACGCTCAGCCAGGGACCGTGACCATGCGGTCTTATGATCTGTCAACAGTGGACAGTGGGTCTGCCTGCCTGTGCTCTGCCTCGTGGGCGTGTGGTCTGTCACGGTGAACAACGGGTCCATCCAGCTGCCATGTGAAGTAGGGCGTGTGCTGCTTTATTAAAGACCTGCAGTCCTAATATCTTGTGCAGTCAGTTTTCAAACTCTAACGCTCCCTCAGGCCCTCCAGCTGCTCTTTGGTGGACCCCAGCTTCATCCTGACTGGTGCCAAACTCGCAGGCTGAGGTTGGGTGTGACTGCTGCAAAGTCTCTGATGTCAACTGTTAGCCAGAAGAGAGTCTGTTGTAGGCCCATGGCCCCCCAACACCAAGGGTGGCCATGCTCACAGGACGTCACCTCCTACAGAATGGACTCGGATCTCCTAGCGATAGCCCCCCTTCCTTCCTGACCCCAAGCGTGGCCATGCTCGCAGGACATCACTTCCCACAGACCACGGACTGCATAGAGTCTACTAGAGCTACCCCCAGTTCCCCGACACCAAGGTGCCCACAGGTAAATCATAACAGAGGCCTGGCCAATATTGTGAACACAGAAACGAGTATGTGTTTGGAACAATATGTCGACAGAGAACTGCAGATGTGCAGGCTGGATTTAGAAGAGGTCGTGGGAGAAGAGGTCGTGGTACTAGGGATAGATGGATCTCGGCAGAAAGCAGAGAATACCAGAAGAATGTCTATCTGTGCTTCATTGACTATGCAAAGGCTTTTGACTGTGTGGATCACAACAAGCTGTGGCTGACTCTGAGAAGAATGAGAATCCCAGAACATTTGATCGTGCTAATGTGAAACCTATACTTGGACCAGGAGGCAGTCGTCAGAACAGAGCAGGGAGACACTGGATGGTTCAGAATCAAGAAGGAGGTTCGTCAGGGATGTATTCTGTCTCCATACCTTTTCAATCTGTATGCAGAACAGATCATCCGAGACGCTGGGCTGTACGAGGAGGAAATGTGGCATCAGGATTGGTGGAAGAATTGTCAACAACCTGCGTTATGCAGATGACACAACCCTGCTTGCTGAAATTGAGGAGGACCTGAAGTGCTTGCTGCAGAAGGTCAAGGACTGCAGTCTTCAATATGGATTGAAGCTCAATATCAAGAAAACAAAGATTCTCACCACTGGGCCAATTGGCAGCATCAGTATGGATGGTGAAGAGACTGAGATAGTGAACAGTTTTCGTTTACTTGGCTCCATGACCAACACTCTTGGTAACAGCAGCCAGGAAATCAGGAGACGAATTGCATTGGGAAACTCGGCTGTGAGGGACCTCTCAAGAGTACTGAAGAGCAACAACATCAGACTGGAGACTAAGGTGTGCCTGATCCCGGCTATAGTCTTTGCACATTACGTGCTATGCATCAGAGAGTTGGACAGTGGATAGGGATGATAGAAAGAGAATTGATGCCTTTGAGCTGTGGTGCTGGAGAAGAGTGTTGAATGGACTGCTAGGAGAACAAACAGGTTTGTCCTGGAGAAGGTGAAGCCAGGCTGCTCTGTAGAGTCAAGGATTCTGAAGCTTCGTCTGACATATTTTGGGCATGTTGCAAGGAGGGACTGGTCCTTGGAGAGGGACATCGTGTTTGGGAGAGTGGAGGGACGGTGCAGGAGAGGAAGACCCTCGAGGAGATGGATCGACTGTGAGTGGAGCGGTGGGAATGAGTGTGTTTGAGACAGCAAGGTTGGCACAGGATAGAACAGCGTTTAGGGTTGTACATAGGGTCGCTGTGAGTCGCAAATGACTCAATGGCACATCATAACAACAACAATTGTGAAATGTGTGTGAGTGCAGTTCTCTGGCGACACACTATGCATGAGTGTCCAGCAGGTGTCTCATACCCCGAGGAACTCCAGCTGGGCCTTTCTCTGCAGTGCCTGGCCCCAGTGCGACCCCACGGGGCCTTCCTGCAGGGTCGGACCTCAGTGCTGGTGGCACTCACATACACCTATTTTCTTTCATACCCAAACCTTACAGAGTAAAACAAATCCTCCGTGTCTTCCACATCACTCTGTCCCGCCCCAAGGGTGGCCAACATGAGACTGACAGAGAGCACACCTACCCTGCATCTTCTCCTGTGTAGATGGTCTGCCCGTCTCTGCACGCCCGCACCTCTGTGCAGATGGAGGGCCTATTGCACCCCTACACCCCATCCCGCTGAGCCTCTCTGTACCCCATTCCTCTGTGTAAAAAGAAGGTCTGCCCTGCTCCCAGGCCCCTGTGTAGCCAGAGGATCTTCTCCATTCCTGCACCCCACCTTCCTGTGTTGTCCCTGCACCCCAACCCCCTGGGTAAATGGAAGGTCTGCCCCATCCCTGTACCCCTTCTCCTGTGTGGACAGAGGGTCTGCCCCATCCCTGCACCCCATTCTGTGTAGATGGAGGGTCTGCCCCATCTGGTATATCCCGGGGGTTAGATCAGGTACGTTCATGGGGTGACAGGTATATCCCGGGGGTTAGATCAGGTAC